TTAGTACCCAAATTTGGGACAGACCCAATCAAAGTAAGCCACGTAAATAAGACATGTGCGCCGTTATGTGCCACGTTTTAAGACATGTGCGCCGTTATGTAACACATAGTTGTCACAAATATTTCAGTGTTACAAATATAACACATAGTTGTCACAAATATTTCAGTGTTACAAATATAACACATAGTTGTCACAAATATTTCAGTGTTACAAATATAACACATAGTTGTCACAAATATTTCAGTGTTACAAATATAACACATAGTTGTCACAAATATTTCAGTGTTACAAATATAACACATAGTTGTCCTTTTGACGTTGTACCTATTTACGCAGTTGTACCATGTTATGAAAAATAAATTTTCAGTTGTCCAGTTCATTTTTGAAATTTGTAACACATTTCCTATGATTCTTTACCATCATATTTGCAAAAACACATTTTCTCAAGTTTTACTTCATACGGTATATAACACATAGTTGTCCCAAGTATTTCAGTGTTACAAATATAACACATAGTTGTCCTTTTGACGTTTTACCTATTTACGCAGTTATACCATGTTATGAAAAATAAATTTTCAGTTGTCCAGTTCATTTTTAAAATTTGTAACACATTTCCTATGATTCTATACCATCATATTTGCAAAAACACATTTTCTCATGTTTTGCTTCATAAGGTATATAACACATAGTTGTTCCAAATATTTCAGTGTTACAAATATAACACATAGTTGTCCTTTTGATGTTTTCCTATTTACGTAGTTGTACCATGTTATGAAAAAGAAATTTCCCTTGTCCAGTTTATTTTTGAAATTTGTAACACATTTCCTATGATTCCATACCATCATATTTGCAAAAACACATTTTCCTCAAGTTTGGCTTCATAAGATATATAATATTAACAAATTCTTCTTAAAAGTGTAAGGTTGTCCTAAGGTTATTGATGGAAGATTTGATATATGATGTTCAAAAAAAAATTTTATATTAGGTACATTATATTTTAGATAAATAAGATAATTGATCTTATGTTTTGACG